TGGGGAAGCAGGGTAAGCAAATCATTTTTCTTCAGAACACTTATTGGTAGTGATTGTTCATAGCACTGCTTTGGCTGAAGAACTTGTTTCCCTAATTTCCCACGACGCCTGAAGTTGAGTTGCTTGAAAGCTGAATCCTTGGCAAGGTCCAATTTGTACAACACAGTTGTAGGTAATTCCTTCTGAAAACGGAACCATTGGACTGGGGAAAATAAAAACTGATCACCATCACAATTTTTTTCCCGCATAACAAGTGGTCCATCCTTTTTTTGCTGCAAAAGAGCTGCAAAGTCAAAGAAGTGTTCTTGCTTCATTTCTCGAACAAGTAAGTTGGATTTCTTGTATGGCACTGTCTTGATGAAATCGTACCAACTGTTTGGGTGATGAATTTCTACAGTAGCCTTCTTTTTTTTCTTCTCAATGTTAGCATGGATCTGGTCGCACTCCATGAATGTGTGGCCTGGTACAAGAAATTTGTGGTCAACTATTTCTAGAGAAGGGTGATCTTTTACAGCAGAAATCAGCGCAGCACACATGTGGCTGTTTTTGTTCTGACCAGAACAGGTGTCTGAATACATGGTCACTTGAGTAACAGGTGGAGCAACCTCCTCCTTTAAATACCTTACAACACATGATGAAATTTCATTTGCTCCCCGCCCTGCTTCGATTTCTGACCACATGTAGTTTGTGCCTGTTTGCATGGAACAGTTGTAGACTGTCAGATTATAGACGCTTAGTTGTCTTTTATAAAAGGTTTCACCACTTGACAGTAATGGGCAAGGGAGGACCTGCTCAAGATCAAAACAAATTACTTGTTTAGTTGGGTCTTCCTTAGCTTCTTCTTTGTCTGCTTTCTTAACAGCATAAGCATCCTGAGCTTTGATATGATGAGCTTCTAATTCTCCTTGAATTGCAGGTTTCTCTTCAGCTGTGCAATGCTTTAATCTTTGTTGATAAGCATCACACTTACCACAGGTGTCAACAGCTGGTGGTTTAAATTTCAGGCCAGTACTTTTAAACTCTCTATAATATACAGAAAGACTTGTTTTAGGTCGGTTCTCTTTCACGTAGAGGCTGTACATAGAGCTAACACTCAGATCTGCACCAAGGTACTTTTTTTCCGATTGACTTCTGCCATAATGGCTTTCATAATGAGGAAAGCTATCAATATGACTGCGGATAGATTCAAGAACATTTTGAACAGTCTTCCTTGCAGATGGTTTGCGCCCTCTTCTATCAGGTGCTGTCACTCCAGAGTATGATTTTTTCTTATTGTCAAGAGCTCGTGCTACAAAACCATCATTTTCATCAAGCGTAGCAAGAAAGCACTTTTTACAGACAACTACTCGACAATTGTTTTGTTCTAGCTCATATCTTAAAGTACAGGTCCGGTTCCGAGTACCAGTCCTTGGCCTAGAAGTCTTCTTAGGGTCTTCAAAAACATGATTAACTATGTAGTTCACTCTTTTGTCAAAATCATTCAGTGCCCAGTATTCTTTAAATATTTCTTTCCTGCCTTCTTCAATTAATCTTTCAATACATTTCATGCGGCACATTGTCAGTGGTTGTAACTCTCTTGATCTCACAACTTTGCCAGTTAAAGTTTCGTACTCATTGCCAGAATTACGTGCTTTTTTATTTTCTTCTACAAGCTTACTAGTGCCCTTTCTTCTTTCTGGCCTGGCCGTTGATCCAGCAGAAGAAGGTGTCAACCCAGAGGTGGCTCTTGATCCAGAGGGAGTAGTAGTTGATCCAGAGGGAGCAGTAGATGATCCAGAGGGAGCAGTAGATGTAGAAGCAGGAGCCCTCATTAATTTTTGTTTGTTTGCAGTTGATCCAGAGGGAGCTGCAGATTTAGAAGCAGGAGCCCTCTTAGATTTTTGTTTTGTGCTGCTGCTGATCTGTTGAACTTCTTCATTTTCAGAGCCAGAAGAACAAGAGGTAAAGTTACCACTACACTCTGATTCTGTAGGTTTATAAGCATCAGCAGATCCATCAGATGCATCCGAGCCAAAAACTTTGTCGCCAAAGTATGTCCCATACTGCGGCTCATCATCATCAATTGTATCACTCACAGGAGATATTTGCCTGGCTGCCTGCCTACAGCTTCGGGTTGGCCTTGAAACACCTGTAAGTGAAACAGACTATGTTAAAATCCTCTTTAAAAATATAATACATGTCATTCATTAAGTGACTCAGTAATTTTATTGATTGACCGACTAGATAAGGAAAAAAGAAGAGGCTGCATCCAGAATGAGATAGACATTTCATTCTACTATTTCTAGCTAATATTCTTATTGGAGAGACTCCAGATTTTTGGGGGAATAAGTTAAGTACAAAAAGTAAGTGTTGCAATACTTAATGCAGCCCACAAGCACAAACAGGTCCAATTTTGATGGGCAGGAGAAACTATGTTTAGTTCATGTAAGTTGTTAAATATGTACAATTTTTTATTCAAAAGAAATACTGCTTAATTTTTTTTGTTTGGTGGGACTCTGTTGATTAATTTCACCATACTTATCTATTAAAGTTGTTCCCCAAGAAAACTATTCACTTAAATCCAAGATTTCTGTCTAGAAAGTCAGTTTACTTGTAGTGGGAGTGAGAAAACCCAGACATACCTTTTCCCTTGTTGCCAGGATTTGATGTGGGTAAACAAAGAGGCATCTCAAGGTTTGGACTTGAACGCAAAACCAACAAGTTAGTACCTAAAGAAGAAGAAAAAAATAGTGAGGGTAAGTAAACAGGTTATTTCTTTCCCTCTGGATTTGTTACTGCAGAGCAACATACTTTTATCATTTTCTGGAAATGTATTTACAGAGTCGCCTGGCTCTTGACTAGTCAAGACTGGGTCATCAGGTGATTCAGCAAAAAAATCAGGGGTTTGAATATGCCGGGCTCGCAAATCATTACCTAATATGTAAGAAGATAAGAAATTAATAATTGCACAAAATAATAGAATGCATCAAATAGACTATGTCAGTAAGTGTTAAACATACTTTTCTCAATCTCTGGAGACATTGAAGAATTGCTGGTCTGTGAATGAGCTCTTGGGGAAACATTAGGTGACTCCCCAAAGAAATCAGGACTCTGCTTGCGCTCAACTTGCACAGTTTTACCTAAGTTTACAGAAAAAATAGAAATTGCATGTTATAGTACAGCGATATGCACAAAATAGGCTA